TTCAGGCTCTAGCTTCACTCCCCTATACAATGACAAATCAGGTCTTATGTAGGCAGTAAGACCACCTCCACCTTTTTTGCGATCTCTGCGATCTCTGCGAACAATCCGAAAACCCGGTTGGGCTAGGAGGGATGTGGAAGTAGTAGCATCGATTTTAGTCTCAGCGATAAATAATTGTCAAACATGTTCCTTCTAAGCATTTCTTTCGTTTCATCTAGTTTGTTTATCAGGCTGTTTATATTCAAATAAGCAATTTTAAGATTGAATTTATAGTATTCCCTTATGTTGGCCAGGTACCAAGCAAGGAAATCTAACCCTTCCTCACTAAATTATAATTGACGAAGCAGAAAGAACACTTGCACATTTAACGAGGATTACATTTAACAGAAGTCGTGACTCTTTTTCCAAGACCTGAGAAATCGGTTGTATAAAAATTCAGAAGCTATGCATGCTGCAAGGTTAAAAATTAAAAACATAATTATCCTATCAAAAATTAAAAATAGTAAAGCTTTCCTACACTAAAATGAAGTAACTCAAACGAAGATAAGAATATTAAAATGGGCTAGGAATTATCTATCTATTTAGGTTATTTAGTATTTAGTATTTATTTATTTGTTGAAGCAGGTTGATTAATTTGCAGCTTAGCTGATGTGGACCTGCTGTATTAACCCACCCATCCCACCCCAGGGGAGGATGTCCACCACACAGTAATCTCGTGCGTGGGAAATAAACGTCTCCTACCCCTAACCCTGCAGGAGACGGGACCTCCATTTATTCGTCCCTATCCGAGAAGACTAGAATATCTAATCATTTCTTGATGTTATAGAGAGGTAGCATATTCTTCTCAATTATTTTAAGACCCTGAGTGTTGGTCCGGCCGGGGCTCGAACCCTCGACCTCCCGCACAACAGTCCAGCGCTCTATCCATTGAGCTAACCGAGAGGCGGATCAAATAAAGGGTTACTGCACGTTGAAGAAGCCCTTAATGCCTTACTTCTTAACTGCTTTGATCAGAAACTTATAAAGATCACGTCTGTTCTTGAAGTAATAATTTCAATATATAAACAAAGTTGAAATCGTAAATTGGCCACCGTT